AGCTATTTTGTAGTATAATATTAAACTATAGTCTGAAAGTCTCATGTACCTAAAAGTAAAGACATTTTGAATTTCTTACTCTATCTAGAAACCTTTGATTTTTCATGTGGAAATGCTACTGGATAAGATTTCTTTGAACTCTTCGAGACAATTTGTTTAAAAGTACTAATTTCTTTAATGTTTAATTGAATGATACAGCAATGGTAGTACCAAATATTACCATTAGCATATGGTAGAAAGGTTATGGGCAGAGATGGACAGATCAAATTATTTTTAATGTCTGTCTCTTTTGCATGTTTGTACTCATAAGTCCATTCTTTCCCAATTCTGCATTAATCTGCAATTGTTTTTTTTGTTTGTTTTAAATCTGCTCAAAATTGTATTTCACTACATATCAAATATGCATTTTGGATGTATTTTATCACAAAATACAGATCTGTCAACATATTTTATCCCAAAGTATGCATTCCGAAAATATTCTAATATATAATTAAAATTTTGAGCCTACATGTGCATCACAAAATTGCAAAGTGCAAAAATTCAGAGGTAATCACATTCCACTCCATCCATCTGTCCATGTGTGCAGATTAGGTCAGTTGTATCAGAATTCACAAAAAATTGAATTCCTGAAGCATCACTAGTTGTGAGTAGCCTTGCTGCTGAGGACAGTTGCTTTGTTAGGATTAGTTTATGGGAGACATGTACTTTGGCGTTTGGAAGTAAAAGAGAAAGGGCACAGCTTCCCCAAAAATTGTATAGAAAGGTTACTAAGAGGCACATTTTCAGGAGCAAGTCTGAATGGAGAACTAAAAGCTGCATCAACACTCCTTGTGGATTCAACATGGAACACTTGAAGTGTCAGGGGAAAATAGTAGTTTAAAACTGACACTACAGTGCAGAAAAAAATATTTTCCCACAATGCATATGTATGCAGAAGGAATGAACTATATGTAAGAACTGTATGTAAGAAGCTTTTTCTGCCCCCTCATGAAATTATCAGGATTATTCCAGTTATCTGTATGGAGTATTATGTCAATATACTTGATTTTGCAAAAGATGCTGTCCTTGCAATGACAAAAAATCCTTTATATCTGTTGCATTTTCTTACCCTTTATCTGAGTTTGGACTGGCTTGAATTCTTAGATTGAAATATATACCTTTAAACCATTCTCTGGACTCCTATTGCTATGGATATTTAGAACTTTTTCTTTTCTTTTTCTTTCTACAGTCTCAGCAGTGTTCTAATTTTGAATAATTGTCTGTCATTTAAGCTATTCTGTAGTAAACTGCCTTCAAATGTATGATGCTTGTCAAGACTTTTTACAATCTTCAAACTGTGTTTTCTGACCTACAGTAGATCTCAAAGGACTGGTTCCTACACAAATTCAGACTTAGTATGCAATATTATACATACTTATGCATACTTATGCAAAGTATGCAATATTATACATACTTAAAGCTAAATTCAAAGAGTCTCATTTCAGAGTAGATGTCCATAGGACTGCACTGCAAATACACTGAAAGCTGTAATTATTTCAGAACAACTTCTCTTGACTGATTTTTTTTAAAAATGGTGCATCGAAATATTGTTCAGACAACCACCTCCCAATCAGCCTTGGAAGTAGATTGGGAACCAGAAGGAAGAAGTTGAACAGAAACTAGAATGGTGAAGTAGGCAGAATATTGCATTCCTTATCTTGTTTTGCCTTACCATTTAGCATAATTTCAGTGAATTCAGTGTAATTCTCTGCAGAGATGACACAAATAAGTATTGTTGTGGCCATATAAGAAGTAATGAAACATATTACTGAATGTGAAATGAGAGAAACTAAGCTTCAAGAAAAACTGAAGATGACTTGCAGATTTATTGCTCTGTTAATGCAGCTGGATGTTCTTTCATCTATATCATGAGCAAGTCTTCCTACATCTTCCAGGTTTTTCTTCTGTATGCATGGCTTTAAATTCGCTCAGCCTCAATGGGGATGCATTGTCTTGCTCAAAGTTACTTTATGATTTGTGGCCCACCTACACTATAGTGAAGTTTTTGCTCTTCCAATTCCAGGTGTTTCTTAAGTGAGAAAATAACCCCCACCTCACACACAAACACACACACACACAAATATAATTGTGTTTTCTACTCTTGCCTTCTATTGGTCTGCCAATTAAGTGTTACCCAGGCAAAAGCAAAGTCCCAGGTGGACTTCAGAGTGTTGCTGTTCACTGCATCTATTATATTTCATGACAGAATAATGCAAGCCAAGAAAGAATCACTGTCAATACAGAACTAATCTGAGTGTTACTCTTTGTTCTAACTGCAGCAGGGTTGAGTTTCTACCACAAACTAATTTCCTCAGTTACTAAAGATGCCTGGGTTTGGAATCAAAATCTACCATTATGTAGAGCTTATGAGGAATTGCCCTCCTCTTTTCCCATTCACCCACCATACCCCCAGGCCTCAGGTGAAAAGTAATTCAGCATATAGGCACACAAGGCAGATTTGGTCAGGCTCACAAACAGTGACCAAAGCAGCAAGGCACCCAGTGGTGGGGTGGGTGAAGAAGAGGTGCAATACATGAGCAGACCATTTTGCACTACCAAGGAAAAGGGACACTTTTCAATATGATCTGTAGCTCCTAGCGCCTTTCTGCTGGGGAATGGGTGTGCGGCTGTGGGGTTTCATACCAAATGCCACAAGCAGCCACAGTATTTTGATGGGATAAACTGATTGACATTTCCATTCATTCTCTTATTCAACAGGATTGTGTGCAATAGGATTTCAAACAATTCAGGACAAACTCCATCCTTAACTGATGTAAATTATCAGTGCATCAGATATTGTGCAAAAAGAAAAAGGAAAAGGAAAAATTAAAAAAGAAAAAATCAAAACCAATTAATTTTTCAATAACAAATGTTAGGCAAAGTTTCAAAGGAGAAAATTCAAACATGCCAGGTAACAAAAAACATGTGCAGAATTCTTTTCTGTCTGTATAGTAGGAGGGTAATCTTTAGAGAGGATTCAGGGAACCATCATCAATGCACCTATAAAATTTGGGAAGTTCTTTCTGTAGAGAAGAAAGCAAGCCTTTGCCAGATTTTCAGTTACACAAATAACTGCTGAACTTAGTTCAACCTTTGCCCTGTTTAACTACATTGATGTAATTTTCAGTATCAGTGGATTAATTTTGAGAGCACTAATAGATACCTACTGGTCCTGTGCAAAAATGAAACTGAGTCAAATTAATTGATGACTCTCATTATATGATCTAAATTCTAGAACAGAATGTTATCTGGAATGGGGATCACCTCAATGAGATTTACCAAGTTTTCCTTCCACTTCCAGAATATCAATCACTCATTTATTAGGTAAGTAGTAGAATTGCAAGGTATGTCTTTAAAAGTCTTGCAGTTTAAAATGCAGTTTTCGCTCTTTGATTTATCTAATCACATCTGTTTATATGCATATCACTATATGGAATCCTTTAGTATAGTTGAGATTTGTACAATTTAGCAGCAATTGGTGAGTGTCTCTACATGCCCCCAATTAAAAGAGTGATTTATAAAATGACTTTTGATTGGTGCACCATTCCTCTTCTGGATGAGGCAAAACAAAGTCCTTCACTCCCAAACAGGTAGTATGATGGAAACCAATCATGTCAACCAATGGTTGGTGCATATACACAGAGACCTTATTATTACATTTATATGCCACCTTTTTCTCCTTGCAAGGAACTAAGGCATTTTACAAGGCTCTCCTCCAACAAAAACCCTGTAAGGTAGCTAAGGCTGAGAGTTCATGGTTGGTCCAAAGTCACTCATGGCTGAATGTGGACTGGAACTCAGATCTCCTTAATCCCAGTCCAAGATTCTAACCACAACACCACACTGATGCACACATGCCTTGTGTGATCCAGGATCCAGAGATGGGAAATTTTATCTCATGTAACACATTTATACTTTTGAATAGCACAGCATGTGAGCTAAATTCCTGTCCACGAGGATTGGGGATGGTTTAGTCTTCAACATTATATGCTCTATTGGTGCAAATTGTTCCCAAAGTACTACATGTTAACTGCAAATATGAATGCAAAACACTGGGACTTCAATACAGTTCTAATGCCTTAATCCCAATCTATTCCACTGTGTATCTCTAGTGTATCAATACTATTTGTGTAGAGTTTTCCCATTTTAAACCTCATGCTTCATCCTATTATTATTATTATCCTGACCCATTAGCTAGATAGGCTCTCTGGGCAAGTTATCTATAGCATGTATTTCTAACCCAAGGACCATATATGCCAAATAATCAACAAGTTGTGCTGATGGATTTTACAGTGTCAAAATATGCCCTAAATCAGAAAGTTTGAATGCAATGCACATTTTGGTAGGAGAATAATTTCCCCTGCTATGGCCTTTTCACAAATAATGGAGTAACAAACTGTATGATTCCATATGATACATAACATTTATGTTAGAATGTGGGCACAGTTATGAAGCTTTGTGAGCTTATGATTGAGGGGAAAAGTTGGCAGAAAATTTTTCACATGTGGTTCCTGATGTTCCACCTCGAAAGAGTTGCCCTAAAAGTCTGTGAAGTGGCAAGTATCTCAGTGCTCTGGGAAGTTTAACACAACTTTGGCAAATCAAATTATACTTGTGCTTCTTCTGCAACTTCCTAGGACACAAACCTGCTCTTTCTGCATTCACTCCACATAGTTATCATTGATTTTCCTACTATACAGTTTTTATTCATGCCAGGCTGGTTATGAGGGAAAGAAAAGGATGCAGCAATCAGGAAGTTTTCAAAGGTGTTCCAAAAGGTAAAGAAACAAGCAAAAATAAAATATTCAGAACAACCAAAGAGCAATCCTTAAAAAAAACTTTAAATAAAAAGGGAGGGAGAAAGAAGGGAAGAGAATAAAAAAGAAAGAGATTAAAAAAACTGGAAGAGACAAATGGATGTTAAAAGCAGGCACATTCATGGACAGACGCCAGCTACTTACGTTCACCTCGGTGATTGCTATATCAACAATGCTACCCACAACAATCAAGGCGTCAAATGTATTCCATGCATCACAGAAATAGTGCTGCATGTGGCAGAGAAGCCAAGGAAAAAGAAAAAGAAACAAAGAAGAGAGAAAGAGAGAAAAAGAAGATATATAAAAATAAAGTAAAACCAAAACAAGAAAGAAAGAAAAAAGAAAAAGCATGAAAGAGGGAGAGAAGAGAAAAAAATAAGAAAAGAAAGAGGTTACGTGGGCATATTAAAGCGTCTCTTACCACTGTACAGTACTGCTTGCTGATACCTCTGTAACATGATGGAGGGTATTGACAAAAGCCTGGTTAGTTAGAATGTTAGACTCACACATGTCTGTTTTTCCTTTTATTTTTTGGAGGGAAAAAAGCACGCGTACCCCAAGTTCTGTGCACTTTCACCAGTCACAGCAGTGACGAATGAAAAAGAAGAAGGCATTATGCCCTCTTTTTTTTCCCCCTGGGAGAAGGACGACGGCAAGTTCAATAAAAGCATGACTAGAGGGAAGAAAACATAAACCAGGAAGAAAAAAAAAGGAAACAGGAGAAGGAAGAAGAGAAGGAGGATTTGGTGGCATCCTAGAGAGGGTAGAGTAATACTCACATTAGTTTCACTGAGAATGACGTCTATAATGCTGCCAATTACGATGAGGAAGTCAAAAACATTCCAAGGATCACTAAAGTAACCCTACATAAGGAAGGGGCAGGCAGGATGGGGATTAAAAAGGAATGTTAGACAGACAAAAACAGTTCAAAATTGGCATTAGAATTACTGCCCTGGTACCCTCCAGTAGCTTTAGAAGAGCAGCTTGGACTATGTTTTGCCAAAGAGGTGCACAAGTTGCCATTAATCAAACACACAATCCCATTGAAGCCAAAGGGATTAGATGCATGTGTAAGGACTACTTGTGTGAGTGTACATTGTAGACCAAGAATAAAATGGTTCTTGGACACTTACTAATATAAAGGAACACTTCTCTCTAGTTTTGTTGCAGCTTTCTTTTTCCTTCTTTGAGCTTTATCAACAAAGAATGTTCTACTTTGACATGTGGGCAACTCAGGACTTTGTTGGGTGAAGCATGTTCCCATTTATGTAGAGCTCTAAAATCATCCATTATGGGAAGTAGAGCTTGGACTGTATTTTGAACATGGGGACCAAGCAGTGGAGACTCTGGTCACCTGAAAGCTAATGGGCCCTGTGCTCAGATCAAATCAAAAGATATTATATTTTATATTATATTCAGAAATTAGTTGCTCTATCAAGGATGTGCTGGAGATAGGGAATGATTAACTAGCTGATGCATTTTTGAAAGTTCTACCAAACTCTCATATTTTCCCCTGAACAGATAATCAGGACTATAATCTTTCAAACAGATATTCCTATTTTATATAATTAATGTGCATTTTAATGTCTCCATTACCATATAGTCCTTCCCTATCTCTTTATGGCAATTAAAAATAGATTAATTTAAGGTAGATTGTAAACTAAAGACTGTAATTCTTATGAGTTGCGAGATTTGGTTTGGGTCCCTTATCAAAATAAATTTAAAAAATTTGATGACGGATTGCAGATTGTTTTCAAGACAATTCCTTCCTGCACATCCCTTTTCCAAAATGATCCAGATACTTTTCTGTAATTCTAAGAAATAGCATATCTCCAGACTTCTGATTGTTTATCAGCTTTTGCTAGTTTGGCTTCCCTGTTTCTCCAGCTGTGGCCTGTTTTCAAAGAAAGGGAACACAAGTGGCACAGCGGATGATATTTTTAGTGCAGGGGAGAGCAGGTCATGGGTGGAATGTGAGCTGGAGTTCCCAGGAAATTTTATAAAAAGAAAAAAATGGAATGGGGGGGGAGCAATAGGTTCTAGCACTGACATCTGACAAACCAGGTTTAGAAAACTTAGAGAAAGTTATAAATCACAGCTGGGGCAGATTATGGCCAAGAATTCTCTTCTGAACCCTACAGTGCTATCCACTTTTTTTTTTATAACTGGCTGTCTTTCTGACTGATTTATACTTCTCAGTATTAGAGGAATTATTAGAGTGCTTTGTTGGGGGATGTGGGAGAGGAAGAGAGGATGGAGTTAGAAGGAAGCTAAATATATTTCAAAAGTACACAAGGGAAATTTCCATTTACACCATGGAACACAGACTTGTTTGAAAACTGAACACCTATAATATGGAGGACAAATTTTCAATTTGTTATCCCACTGATAGAAAACTTAATACATCATGACGGGAGAGGAGAATCCAGGAAATCAATATTTGGGAGTTATTAGTCAATACCCAGCCTATAAGTTTCAGAGTAAAGCAGTTAAATTAGTGTCACCGTCGTCTCCAGCATCTCTAGGAACCTGGTAGATCTGGAATAAATCTGTAATTAGAGAGCTAACAATGCAAGGAGGAAGGGAAAAAAATGTGGATTAAAAGGCACAGATAGTATGATTAATAACACAACAAATTCAGTGGATGTTTACAACAGACTAGAACAAGTATGTTAATGATCACTGAACAGATGAGTGCTTGGAAGTTCTCAAGAGGTCAGTGTTTTCATAGGACCTAGCTTCGTCAGTGATCTTAGAGTATCTTGTTCTTATTACTAGGAGCTAAATCATGTCACCTTTTATTTCCATCTTTCCAGCATCTATGACAGATTACTTAGGGCTAAATCAAATGTGACATGTGTCAAATGGTTTGTCATTCTGTAATGGTCTTTTTAAAAAGTTGCTAAAATAGGGAGCAGGTGGGCAAGCCTGATTGGGACCAGGGCTCTGGTTAGGGTGGGGGCTTTACCCATTTGCCCTGTTATGGTCCCAACTGGAATCAACCCGGTTGGGAGTTTTTCTATCATTGCAAATAGCAAGCATGAGGCAATTTACTTGGAGTCATAAAAGGGACAAAGGGATAAAGCTCCCCCATACCCTAATTTCAGCCTGGCTTCCCTTTCCCCTGTACTGTTGCATTAAAAAGTTATACAAAAATAAGCTATATGAAAAAGATATAGTTGGCTTTCTGGCTATGCACAAACTTCACTTTTTTATAAGTCTTAGAGTGATATTGTAGGGTGGTCATTGCTTGTAGTGTACAAATTCATATTGTGTCCACAATGGGCTCTTGTCAAATCAGTTCTGTTACATTTTCAAGCTGTGCATTATAAAATTTAAGCTGAGCTTCTGCAAGTACAATTAGCATTGTTGCAAGACTTAATATGAGTAATTTAGTGTGACAGCCACAAACAATTATTAAATATTGGCTGTGGTGAGTACTGTGCTATCCCATCTTCCAAAAGCTCAGGCATTTGTAAGCTGTCCAGAGATGAACCGTATTGGACAGGATAAAAATATCCTAATAAATAAATAAATATTAAGCCATTAAAACACAAACACATAAGCATACGTATTAGTATGCCAAATGAACACTACTGTATCCCAGTAAGGAAGAAAAGTTTCCTATAGGAGTCAAATTCAGTAGTCCAAGAACAGGACACAATCCAGTCTACTGATCTGTAAGTCACTAGGCAAAGTAACTACTTCTTGGAAAAGAGACCTGACTAATCTTCCTTCAGATACACAGCAAGGCACTTCCCTATATTAATTATGCAAGTACGATTATCAAGCTACTGATGGTGGATCCAGGCTACAACAGAGTGGCAGTAAAAGAAAAGCTGTTCCTATTGTTCCACATCAATAACTATCTGTACTTAAAGGAAGTGCAAAGAGATCAGACGGTAGAATGTTTGAAAATGGCTTTGGTTTGGTATCAGAAAGTGAGGTATCCATGGCAGAACTAACTTTGGAAATATCTGCCCGTTTTATGTTCTGAATCCTTGATGATGGATAGGACGAAATACTTTGATTCCTTTTGTTAAGATATACTGAAATATATGCCTTCAATCGGGTTGTATCAAATTTAAAATATAGCAGATTTTGTGACTAAATCCATCTGATAGATTTCCTTTCATGGTCAACTAGGAAAACCACCAAAGCCAGTGAAGAGCAGATTATTCACTGCACCAAATTTTGGCCTTAAGAGAATCTGAGAACATGGAGGAGTGCACTCTTGGGGGATACAGAAGTTATTACTGTGAAAATGGATGCTCACTTGAGGTGTGCATAAAATTTAGGGCAGAATATGGTTTCCATTGTAGGAGTTGCATTTCTCCCCACATCAGGAACTCCTGGGTTTGATTTTTACACCAAATGGTTCTGGTTCCTTCCTGAACACTGACACAGTTGCTCTGTGTTTACAATGAGGTTATCAAATGTCCCTCTGTCGAGTTTCCCATCTGTCCACTTCAGTGGATACTGCTGCATATCCTGTCACCTTTGGAATATATTGTTAACCATTAACAAAGCTGGAAGAATTCAGCATTTGCCCTTGTTTTGATTATACATGGAGATATACAATCTCAACTATCATTCTGACATTTCAAGTAAGGCTTAAATATAAGGTCATGCCTTTAAAACCATTCTCTAATCCTGCCATTGACCCACCTGTAAGAATAATAATACTGTTTTTGTAGTCATTACAGGTCAAATAAATAATATAGCCAAGTAGTTTCAGAAACACCCTATTGGACTCACCTGTATATAAATCCTTCCTTAAAAAGCTAATCTTTCTTCCTGAATGGCTTTGTTTTGCTATCAGAGGGTAAATTGTTATCAATAATCATCAACACATATTAAAAGGAGAGAAATTTCTATCTGGAAATTGTTTGCTAGGCTAGCAGAAAGCTCTTTTAAGCCACATTTGTTGTCGCATGAATGGTTCATGAAGGGAAAAGCTAATTGAGGAAGGAGTTTCAATCTGAAAAGAAGGAAGCATTTTCCCACCAGAAACTTTCTTGTGGGTTCTTTTTCTCCCAGGAGAATAAGTTAGAAGGTCCAACTGAGAACTAATTGATGGCATTGTTTATTTTTGCAACTGAATATTTAACATGTAACATTAAATTTCTTGACCAGTAGAAGCCCTTTTGCTTTCATATTCGAGGTATGGTTATGTTATCATTATGTGGAAGTCCCAAGAGATTATTCACAACATTCTGGTGGGAGTTTCTTAAAGGCACATAAAATACTGAAATCTTTTTTAGCAGAGGAGGACAGGAGGCTGAATAGTTTTCTTATGAAATACACCCTTTTCCAGTGAAGTCCCAAGAGAGAATAAGTCACCCCATGATCAATTAGTTAATATACTGTAGATGGCTGGTGTGGAATCTCATTTGTGCAAGGAAAGGAGGTCAGAAGTGCTCAGTGTTCTTGCTGATCCCCTCTTGGTTTCCTTGCCTACTGAAATCAACAAGGAAGAAGCCCAAGGGTTTTGTGAACACTGTATCACTGTATTATCTGAAGACACTACTCTTACAACCTGTGCAACTGAGCTCAAAGTGTGATGTTAAGCAAGTCTTGTTAAAAGTAGGGGCAACACCATCTGGAGCATATTTCGAGGTCTAAACAGAGAGTCTCTTGTTGTATTAAAGATCTCTTGGAGAAAATAATCAGTATATTTAAGCACTAACTAGTCTGCCCTCTGCATAGAAATCCAGTAAAATGTACAGGGATTAGGAACATTAATTCAAATCAAGCTAGCACCAGAGTTTCGGGCTCAACTTATTAATTATTAATAATTTCATAAGCCAGGAGAATTATGTAGATAATGCTGGATTTTAGGGAAATAAAGGCCTTTATGCCT